TAGGGATGCACGATATTGGTTTTTTGAAACCGATACCGATAACTTCCTGCTTCTCAAGACCGATACCGATACCGATAACCGATAATAATATAATATATATATTAAATGTAGTTTTTTCCTCGTTTTAGCCCTGGGGTCGTCTCTGGCAAACTTCTTTCCTTTTTCAAAGCCTCGTCGATAGGTAAAAGCCCCGGTGCCTTTGCAGCTAGTTTTGGATTCGCAGCTAGTTTAGCAGCGCAGGCGTCTTCGTACGCTTTTAACACACCATCGTAGCGATGTCGATGTTTCAGGTGACTAATCAGGTTGGAAGTATTATAGCTCGTTGCCTTTTTCCCTCCTCGTGGAACTTCTGCATTGCATTTGTTAATACAAATAGCAAGCGAACTATCTAACTCTGAAAATTTGAAATAGTCCCATACTACCGACAACATGTTTGTTTACTGTCCTGGCTTCACGGCCGCACACCATTTACGTCACAGCCAGGCATGAGTTAGGGAGCGCTGGATTTGTGAAAAAGTCCCCTCTTCCTAAACCACTACCACAGTACTGGCAAAACGGGAGGAGCTGAGTGAAAAACCAGCGCCCCTCATCCCAATCCACCCACACCGCAGTATTTTTTTCTTTTTTTTTACCCAAAAAATATATTGTATATTATCGGGGCTATTAATACTTTTATCGGGTTTATCGGGATGACGTCATAATTCCTAATATCGGACCGATAATTATCGGCCCGATAATTATCGGCCCGATAATTATCGTGCACCACTAGTTTTAAAACTTGATTTAATAAAGTCATGTCAATCATCTTTGATCCCAGTGTGACACAAACAGCTTTGTTCAGTCTAAAACAATGTATAACCTAGAGACATAATGTAACTGAAGAACATGTTGTGTATTGTATGTAGGGGTGTCACGGTGTGAAATTTTCGGCTCACGGTTATTGTGACCAAAATTACCACGGTTTACGATATTATCTCGGTAATTTTTTTTTTTTTTAGTGTTAACATTAAGGTGAACATTAAGGTAAGTTTAGGTTATTAGGCAAGAAGCCAGTACTGTATGAGAACTAAGCTGTTTAGCGCCTTACAATGGCGTTTAGTAGTGCACTAGCTACCAACGAATAGAGCATGGCACCGCAGTAGGATGTATTTTAAAATGCTAGCAGTGGGCGTGCTTACACTGA